AATTGTTGGGTTTCCCTCCTTTGTGGGACTCATCAATTTGCTAATTTTTTGGTGGCTTACCCGTGTATAACTCTTATCCAAGACTTGGTTTGGAGTCTTCAAGTTAAAAGGAATTTGGCAGTCACCAAAAGACTATAAGTTTTGTCTTTTTCTTTGGTTCATCTTTTTCTCTGTTGGTTTGGCAAGAAGACATATTTTTCGGCAGTCTTTGGTTCAACAAAAAATTCAGCCTTCTTCTTCTCCTTTTTGGTGCCAGAAAAATCTGCAAATTTGTTCTTCAAGTGGGTAACATTTCTTCACTTGATATTTGGGTTTCTTGCGGTTTGTTCTTGGAGATTTGGTTCACTTATTTTGTGAGGTATTTTCCTCTTGTGATTTACACCTTGGTGTGTTTGTAAGGCTTATGCCTTTTGGCCACTTTGTAATCTGATTTGGTGATAGTGGAAGAAACTGACCTACCGGTCGTCGTGGATGTACCTCAAGTTATTTGAGGGAACCACGTAAATCTTGTGTGCTTATTTATTTTCTGTTATTTTATTTATATTGCTTCCATTGATTTACACTTGTGGGAAAGCCTATTTTCCCAACACTGCACACAAGATCTCTTTGATTCTCTTTGCCTCTGTAAATGGTGAGACACCATTTCGCCAATTCTCTTTCATGGGCCCAATCATTTGGTGCAACATTTTTCCCTTATCCAAGGATTAAAATTTCATTTTGGCACATAATTTTGTTTAATTTCAAAATAGAAACGTCTGAAAAATGATTTGGAAACAATACAAAAATATGATAGAAACAAACAAAAAATTTAAAAATTATTTGTGGAACATTATGTAACATTTCAAAATATAGTAGTTTTAGTAATCAGTCATGGACTCATTTCATTTTACATAGAAAAGGAAACGTTAGTTCCTTGGCTTTATACCCTAACATTTCTTTTCTCCGGTTTTGACAAAGTGCAGCTACATGGAACTAAAGTTCAAACCCAAGATATACACCACAAACAAGATATAAACAAAGAGGATATCTTTATTTCTCTCTGAAAATAAAATATAAGAATTTATACAAAATTCTCACTGAGATCTCTCCCGAATCTCTCTCTCTCTCTTTCTCTCTGTTTCTTCTTCATTGATCTTAAGCATACTTCCGGCCTTCACTAAACTTCCTATTTATTGGGAGTTTTTTGGCCAAATAAGACAAGAAAAAAGGAAACACATTTAAGGCTTTGGCAAGCTTTGTCAAAGCTTTAGTCGTCCGCCGTCAATCAGTCCGCCGACAAGCCATTAGTAGGGTGGCTACTACGATGGGCTACTGGGTAACCTCTGATGGAGCTGGATTCTTCAAAAGATTCTCTTGGCAATGTGTGAATACTAGAACATCTCTCAATCGGAAATTTTTTGAGACCTATGTGGTTCCAACTTTCAATCCTCAAGTTTGTTTCTCCTCCTCAACTCTCAAGTTTGTGCCTTTTACCTGTTATATGAGAATCTTTAACAAATTCCCAAGCAGAACCACATAATAACATACTTGTCTCGTAGGAAAATGGGGAGAAAATTAAAATGTATGTTATAGCCAGCCAATCAATTCTTTTTCGTTCAATTGCCAAGTAGAGATAAGGTTTTGACATTTTCTCTTTTTACAGAGAATAAGAATAATATTTCATTTAGATTTGTTCAGTCCACTGGACCACCATTCTACAATTTCTTCAAGGAAAAAAAGCAAAGACTTCCAGTAGTATAACATAAGACTAAAACTTAGTCACTAAATCAAAATTATAATGGAACTTGCTTCTTTCTTCTAATGTGTTTATCGTTGCATTTCTTCATATATACACTCAATGTAGCCTTAAAAACTACAATAACATTAGGGGTCACTTTAATGTTCTCCGGAAATTAATACTTGCATGTGTTGGACTTTGCAATGGAAATGCTTCCATTGTGTTTGGGTATGTGACTGTGTGAATTTGATCTAAAAGTATTCATAATTCAAAGTATAACTTTCAAAAAGTTTCCATCTTTTGCTCAAGAGAAATTTCATTAGGTTTGGGACTTGCGGTGCAAGAAGAGTTCCACCTATTTTTTAGTTCCATATCCTTAAATATCCACTACAAATATCATATGTATAGAATTTCAGATTTTGTCTTTTATTTGGCACATGTATCTTGGAACAAACTTGCGACCAATTCTACCACTTTAAAGGCTGACAATCATATTGATCTACATTCAAAAGGTTTAACATAATTAGAATTATTCAATATGTGAATAGCAATTCGAAACTTGAGGTATAGAATCACCAAATTAAGAATTTTAGGATTAAAGTGATATACCGGTTTATTTGTCTCACAGAGTTGCTTGTGTGAAATCAATGGGGTACTTCAACAGGTATCAAAGGGTTGTTTATAATGTTTTACTTTGGATTTGAATGATTTCATTGGTTGACAATGTGTTTCTGATTGTCATATCTTTTGAATTCAAGGTTTCAATTCACTTGTTTAAAATGAGATTATGTTAACCCGTCGCTTGAATTCTATGTTTGCAAATTTTGTACTAGTGTAATAACTCACAATGAACGATAATTTTTGTACTATATGATGTTGTAACATTTTTGTCATTTTGCCTTATTGCACACAAGTAGTGAGGTTGCTTAACTCATTTTTTTTGGGGGACAACTAAGGTATTTCTTTCTTGTATTTGAATGGCATCATTATTTCTCCTCTCAATCACTGAATCTATTATCCATTTGGCCGAGGAAAGAGATGAATATGGTTCTCAAATTGTATTGCAAGATTGAATAGTGTTGCATGGTCCTTTAGGGTGGACATTATGAAAACCATGTATTGTTTTATATAGGGGATACGAATAAAGGTAATAAAAAAAAATATACGACACGACTTATTTATATATTAATTATACACAATTTATATTTGATATAACATGATTTACTAGACACGAATTAGTAAACAAATCATGTATGAGTGGAATATTTTTGACACGATCCCATTAAAACTTGACACAAACTCGTCTCACTCGACACAATTAATATACCTAATTATAAATAGCCTAATTAGTTTATAACTTCACTTTTAAAAGGTTGAACTTGATTTTAAATGGTGTAACTTTACATTTAAAAATTATTATAACTTTTCATGATTGATCATGATAATGTAAAGAGCCGAGAAATATGAGATAACGAGCTCTATAGTGATGTGGGTGAGTTGTGTGTGTTGACAAAAACTAAAACACAAGAGGATAAGTGATTCACCAAGCTAAAGAACTAGGTTAATCCACTCTAAAATAGAATGTTTTGTTCCTATAATTTATATTTATTAGAGAAGAAGAATATTTCACTCTCTTAAAAGTACAATTGTTCATTATTCTACTAAGCCAATGATTTATCTGTTTTTACACCAAGAGAGTATGGTCCTCAAATAATGATAGAGTAATTTGGATCCCTGCATAGTAGTAGGTGGAAGAGTCTGGTCTTTAGGTCGACTAACTTCCTTATTATGTTGTAGACATGTTTTCTGTATATATTTAGTCTTGGCATCATCGGATCATAAAATTATTAACATTTTAAAATTGACGATACTTTTTTATAAGTATAATATTTATTTTAAAATTTTATAATTTAATCTTAAAAAATTATAAAATTTTGATACAATATCAATTAGGGGTGGCCCGAGACATATTGGGGCTTAAAGCAGAAAGGTTTTTTTTATTTTTAATATTAATAATAAATTTATTTTTTAATTTTTAAAATACAAAAATATTAGTTAAATTTTTATATTCACGTTTTTATTACTATATTTGAACTTAATGATAAGAGAAAAAGAGAATGATTCAAAAAATATGATGATAAGTTTAAACTTGATTTTTTTTGGGACTTTCTTTAAAGTGAGATCCTAATTTTTTTTTAATTGAACTTGTGTTTTTATAAAGTTTTTTTGTAGGGCTTAAATATTTATGAATTTATTTTTTTCAATGAATTGTTTATAATACCTAAAACTTAATTTTTTTTTTTTTTATAATACTGTTGAATCGCCCTTGATATCAATTTCAATAGGTTGGTAATATGCCCAATAGAAAAGAAAAAAACAAACAAACAAAAAAAATAGACAACGAGTGGTACATACGTAATTTTGATGTCGAGTGCATTCGCGGAAGGGTGGTTACTAGACAACGAGTGGTACTTGCACAAATAACGTGGTGCCTTAATATCGAAGTGTGTATAGTGATTAAAAAAAAATTAAAAAATTTCATCGGATCAAATAGAGAGATCCCAACGTTTGGGCATTGGCCTCTATATCCACACTATCACATTATTATTTTACACATTTTACCTTTAAATTAATTAGATTAAGACATAATATTTGATACGATATCGTCGATATTTGCGATCCAAATTTTAAAATGAAAGTGAAAGAATAAGTCAATAAATGTGAGCGTTCATGTGCTATACGACTTTTTGGCTGATCCCTATCTTGCTGGAGGCAAATTTTCTACAGTAAAAATGGTTGATTAGTTGAATTGGTTCTGGCGTCCTTGTACCCAAAAGGATGGGTGAATTTGGTTTGAGTGTTCATCGATTGGGTGGATTTATATCCTCTGGGGTAGTAAGACAAACTTTCTTTTTTTTCTAAATTTTTATTACGCTACTCTGATTAGGGTAATAATCGAATCTTGTTATTCATATTTATATTGCCTAATTGCAATTTATGTTGTCTAGTAGTTAAACCCGAATCCAACTTTTTTATTAACTAAATTATGTTTGAGTTGAAAATAAAAGAATTCCACTTTCTAACAATAATATTAAATACTTGACCCACAAAAAGCGAATTTCTTGACCAAAAACAAAACTATAATATTAAATAGTGTTTTTGTTAGAAAACAATAATAGTGGGCTACGGTCCAATTTGTAAGAACCCAAGCCCAAAAGTACCCACTACCCGGTCCCAAAACCGACAAATTTGGAGATCCAACATTCACTTGCACATTCACGCTCCAGTCTCACACACTGACACACTCTCTCTATCTCTTCCGCGTCACTCTCTTCTTCCTCGCAGAAAACCCTAATCCTCAAGCAGGTAAGTTTTCACCATCTCCGAAGACTATCTCACTACAGCTAGATCACTTTTTGATATTTGACGTCTCGCATTCACCAGTTTAGTGGCCAGCCACTTCGATTTCTAGGGTTTTAGCTGGTTTTTTATTTATGATGTTCTAATTTAATCCGCGATGTTATATCATAGATTTCGGAATTTTTGTTTCTCGATGCTCAATGTCAAGTATTTATTTCACTAATTCGGTATTCTATCGGTCTTCGGTGTTTCGATGTGCTCTATTCAAATTATTATAGGTTCTCTTTTCTTTCTTCTGTTTTTTCCCAGCAAGCAAGAAGATGGCAATAGGACTGAGTGCTTTAGTTGTAGAAACAAGAAAGTCGTCCTTTCTGTTACTAGTATTCTGGTTCATTTTAGTTTATTGACACCAAGAAACGCAATAATGTTTATCTGTCTTACTTTTCTCAGCATCCAAATGGAGCATATTAGAAAAGACGAATCTTTAGACCTTCATCAATAATGGATATTCCAGCATTCTGTTTTCTTAACATATCTTTGGTTTCAATATTTATGGTACCTGTTTTCCATCCAGGTTAGTGCATTGGATCTCACCAATGGTGCGGAATGTATCTGATCATTCAGTATCTCCAGTCAGGGGACGTGGATCTCCTCGTAGGAGGAGCCCTTCTCGAAGAGAGAGATCTCCTGCTGGGCATAGGAGTTCACTCAAAACAAGCTCACCTGTTAGAGAGAAACCTTCAAGTCGCACCAGGTCCCCTAAACGCACACGATCAAGATCTCCTGTATCTCTACCTGTAAGAGAGAAACCTTCAAGTCGTACCAAGTCACCTAAACGCACAAAGGCGAGGTCTCCTGTTTCTCCCTTGCCCATGAGAGAGAAACCCTCAAGTCGCACCAGGTCCCCAACACTTGCAAAGTCGAGGTCTCCTGTATCTCGCTCACCCTCACCACAGACTAAAAGATTAAGGAGAACTCAAGCTGAAAGAGAGGCTGAGAGAGTGAGTGAAAGGGAGAATGAAAGAAATCATGGTAGGGGAGGTGATAGGGGTATACGTAGGGAAAGAGATCCAGACAAGGCAGTGCCTAGTGAGAGAAGGGAGCGAAGGTCAGGAAGGGATGCAGTTGATAATGGGTCTTCTAGAATGAGACATGGGCACTCAACTTCACCATCAGACCGTCACCAAAGGAGTAGACACAGATCTCGGTCCCCTGCTGCTGCTGCTGATAACAGGATGCGTGATGAGGTGTCTGGTGATATCCACTTCTTTAACTGCCTCAATAACGCCATCTATATTTGTATAGTTAATGTTCTTGTTAGTTTTTACATTTGAAAATCTTACCCTCATCATATTCTTATGCTAAAACACATGCATACAGTTAAGCTTTTATTTGCCATGTGTTACAAGTATTGTGTGCATTATTGTAGTAAAAACCATATAAATAGAATTTCTTATAAAAAAAAGTTCTTTATCACTATTTTGTTGAATTAAAACTGAAATATGATGGATTGTAGTAACCTTTATTAACTTATTAACAGAAAAATAATGACTATTTTAGGTTATTGATTTGTAGCAAGTACATTATAAAGGTCCCTGCAATCATTCAATTTTTGTGTATTTCTGTATGACTTTGTGTATGTGATTTGAAGGCAGCTGGCTCACTCTTGTTATCATAGCCTCATATTCTAATATAGTTCTTGCTTTATCAAAATGGAATTTTCTGCTCTCATATAAAAACTGAAATGAAAATTTTGTGCCTTTTCGTGTAATGTATTGAATTTTCCATTTTGATCTTTTGCAAAGCCCCTGAATATTCTCTTTCTTGCATTGTTTGATAGTCAGGGAAAAAAATTTAACTACTAATTTATTTTTGAACATCTTTTTGCGTTTCTATCTTTTTTGTTTAAGAGAATGAAACATTTTCATAAATTAATATGTGAGGCATATTAGAGTTGCTTATTCCAGCATAAATGCTTAACTTGAGTATCTGACAGTTTGCTAATCTCTTCAGGTGACTAACTCAAGGGGAGTGGAACATCGGTCAGCTGCTGCTTGAACTTTATAGTTCTTATCTATACAATCTGGAAAAAAAAAAATCACCTAGACACTCCTATATCTTCAGTCTGTTTTGCTAATGAAAATATGGTATAACAAGTAATAAGTTTGGTTGCGAGCCCTCGGTGATTGAGAGGACTACACTAATATTGATTTTTAAAAATTGATTCACTCCTCTATTCTAGTGGGAATGAGGGAACGTATTCATAGCTTTCTCCCCATAGCCCAAACAGTGTAGGGGAGGGCATTACAATTTTGTATTAAAAAAAAAAACATTCATGTCATAGGGTAAACCCTCATGCAGTGAAGGAATTAGAGAATTTAAATTACTGACTGGGGTCCTTATTTTTGAATTATTGTCATTTGCATTTCTTTTGAAGAGGTTGATTCCTACGCAAAAATTTGTGAAATGCATTACTCACAAATGAGCATTGCTTCTAATCGGTAGTTGTTTATATATTATTAACTCCTCAATCTAAATCCATACAAATGATTAGAAATTAGGTGCCATCATTTGCCTTATGTGTTTGTTGCACTTAGTTTAAGTGTGGTTTCTTCTTATAGGTGTTTCTCCTCTACGGTCCTGAATCTAAAGTTCTCCCTCTTCCTCTTTTTAATTTATTTGAATTTGTTGTGGGCTTAAATTCCACATAATTGCTTAATTATATGAAAATTGATTAGTTACCTTTATTTTGCTACTTTTTCCAATTCTACGCTCCTTAATATTGCCTTTGAATAGATGTTGATCACTTGCTTGAGCAGGGATGACGAAGATGATTCTGTATCTAAAATGAAGGCTGCTGAAGGCGCCCTAGAAGCCAAGGAAAAGGTAATACTAGCTTCTTTTGCTAAAATGGCACTATTTCATACTCTGTTTTTGATCGGTGACTTACTTTACTCAAGAAAAAAAAACAAAATTTCTACTTACAAATTTTATGTGTACCTTCCTTTCACCATATTTAGGAAAAGGGATAAGCTGTGTTCATTCCCATTGCTCTTAGTTCCATACATTATCATGGTGCATGTTATGTGTTTGAATAATTGTGATTTATCCTGCAAACAGTTACTCCTCTAAATAAGCTTGTGATGACTTGCAACAGCAAAAGCCTTCGTTTGAGCTGTCTGGAAAGCTTGCTGCGGAAACCAACAGAGTAAGAGGTATATATTTCCATTCCATCTACTTCAACTTAATTAACAAAATTTTTTGCTCATTCTTTGCTTGGTTGAAGGAGATATCTCTGTCAAAACTTCCTACATATATGTTGATTTTTGGGAATTGATATATTATGAAGTGGTTTGACCTCCTGCATTACCATATACATATTTGTGTGTGTATCTTTTGAAGTGGCCAGTGATATCTTTGTGTTTTGTTGTTCTGCCTTTCTTAATTAAATATTGCTTTATTTCAGGTGTGACACTGCTGTTCAATGAGCCACCAGATGCTCGGAAACCTGATGTAAGATGGCGATTGTATGTTTTCAAGGGTGGTGAAGTGCTTAACGGTAAGTTTTTCAGTACCCTATTATTACTGTGTGTGTTATAATGGATATAAATTATAGGTTAGTTTCCATCCATCGTTTGTATGTCTTGTAATTGTTTCCTACTGCATGCCTGACATTCCTTGTGGATTTTGTTGTAAATGAAACATTCATTTGCCTTTACTGCTGGTTGGTAATCTTAGTTGATACAGTTCTGGTTGAAATTGGGTTGGTATCAAAGGCAATATTGTCAATGCACTCCAATTTTGTTTAGAAGTCAATTGCACCAACAATATGCAAGGTGGTTGGACATAAGTTAGAACCTTTTAGTTTGGACTATTTTGACAGGTCCATACAGAAGTTAAAAGGAAATATTGATAGAAGTTGCAGAAAATTGATTCAAATCACAACTGGAACAAAAGAAACGCCAATGGATCTTCTTAAAGCTCACTGTGGGTTAATGTCCCTTTCATACTTCTCATGTGTGCCTAATATTAGTAGGATGGGAGATTCTGAGCTTTTTATTTTATCTACATATATTTTCCTATTAAATATTAAAGTATTATTTGTATATGTATGACCATCTCCAATGGAAACCCAAACCTGTACCCAAATTTGAGTAAAAAAAAATGGTAAAAAACTTAACCTGGTATAGACCTCTCCAATGAAACAGCCCAAATTTAAAAGAAGATAAATTCAAATTTAAATGAGGACAAATCCAAATTTAAAAGAGGGTAAAAATTGACAATTGAATCTTTAAAGGAGGGTGTAATCTCACCATGATATATTTGGATATGGATTTGAGTCTTCCTTCATTTGAATAAAAAAATGAGACCCCCTTCATTTGATATAGGTATGAGTCTAGCATTAGAGAAGGTTTTTAAGAGTGTTTTATCCAAATTTAAATTTGGGTTTAAAAAAGGGTAAGGATTGGAGATGCTCTAATAAGGAGAAATGTGAGTCTATGGACACATCCACTTGATATTTTGCCTGCATGACCAACACTTTAGGGTATCTAACTGAATTGTGGGAATAAAAGAATGAATTATTGAGAGTTGTCTAAAAAGTTATTGGGTTATTGAGTTATTGTACATTGGCTGTAAGTCATGTGAAAACCATATGAATCTTTGAGAACAGCAGAAAAATGCATGATGAATGTAGATGTTCATACATTCATCAATCCTGCAAGCAGTGTGGGTTTATAACAAATGAAGCCAATATTTATTCATCAATTTCATGGACATAGAACTTGTGTAAACTTGGGCTAGGGTATATCGATTGTGTAGAAAACTAGATGAACATGTGTCGGTTTCTCATTTTCTAATTAAGCTGTTAAAAACAATGTCCAAAGCATGACAGACATACGAAGTGATGATATCTCTGTGTTAAGATGGACTTTCCTGAAACATTGAAAGGCTGATGTAAGATCTGGTAGTTGCTGCTGGTTGGCTGGATTCAGTTGAAAACATGTGAAGGTTCCCCTGTTTTTCATCACCCTCCTTGAAAAGGTAGCTGTCGTTTAGCTTATCTAAGATGGTCCATATAACATATGTTATCAGACATCAGCTTGCTTACCAACTGTGCTTGGTACCCTTGCTAGATGTTGGTTTTACCACAATCACAAACACAAACACAAATACGTCCCCCATCTTATCTTTAGCTCATCACTGTATAAATTGACATATTTTTTTTTATCAGCAGCACTAATTAAATTAATTAACTATTGGGAAGAGAAAAGATTTAATAAAAGGAAGCTCATGTTCACTATGTGTTGTATCATATACTCTAAATGCCAGTCTTTATTATAATAAACATTTACAACATCTGCATTCTCATCGAGGAAGTACCCGACGACCTTGAATGATTATGTGCATGAAATTTGATCTTCTAGACTAGAAAGGAAATTACCTGAAATTTTACCAAAGTTATATGATGCGACTCAACACCATCTATTATGATCTCATTATACTTTGGTTGTTGCAGATGAAGCCTATCAGGTTGTGTCAATTGTGTGTTTACATGTGCAGAATGGTTTTAATGATAGCTAATATGACTGGCTATATAACCTGCATAGTGTATTATGAGAGCCTTCATGTGAGTTTGAGTCACTCCAATCACAAAGCATTTGACTGGTATTTTGTATTCAGGTCATTTTGGAGCAAGAAGGCTTTGTTGGTAACGGTTGCCTGTCATCCCTGGTCATCATTTGTGAATTGTGACTTAATATTTTCCCCTTTTTACTTTTTTTACTTGGTCGTTGATGGCTTTCAGCTTAATTTGGATATTAGCATTTTTTGCACACTGTTTGCCTTATTATATTGGGTTTGTGAGAAGAATATGACCATTAAAGTTCATAATTTGGTCCTTAATTCACAATGTGCTTCTAAGGAGATCTGATCAACAGAGCCTCTATATGTACATCGTCAAAGCTGTTACCTCTTTGGGAGAGAAAGGAGGGTGGCAGACATCCCTACGGACCACCCATCTTGCAGCAAACAACATGCTGTCCTTCAATACCGGTAAAACCATTTATGAACTTTTGTTTGGTCATTCATGTTATGGGATCTGATGATACTTAAATTGTTCATGCTTTAATTTATCTAATTTGTTTTTCCTTCTAAATTTGTTCTTTGTTGTCAGGCAAGTAGAGAAGGAGCAACCTGACGGCATGTTGTCGAAGCAAGTAAGGTAAGACTATGGCTCTAAGCTAACCTATGTTACTTTCATGAGTTGGGATGGATGTCTTGATTCCAAATCTGATTATTTTGCATTTGCATTTTTTGACCACCATACTAGGCCTTACGTAATGGATCTTGGAAGCACAAATGGAACTTTTATTAATGTAAGCAATTTGTTGCAATACCTTGTTCCCATTAATTACTGTCTTTTTTATTTGTGCAGGTGCTACAAATGAGATGAAACTTTATTGCTATGCTATAACTTGATGGTTTAACATTTGCTATTGCATTTGCAGGATAATCGGGTTGAACCTCAGCGTTATTATGAACTTCTTGAAAAAGACACCATCAAATTTGGTAATAGTAGGTAGGCAATACACTACATGTCATTTGTTCTTTAAAACTTGGAGCCTCTCAATTTTCCCATTTATTAACTTGATGATATCGAGTCAATGTCTTTTTCATAACTTGTATCATATTCATATGCCTTTGGTCCCAAACGCAACTGGCACAATGACTGCTCTGTTGGGCATGAGCTTATCTGTTAGCCTGTTTCTCTTCCATGTTGCTTGATCAGACGTCTATGATCTGCCAGATCGTTTTTCATCTTTGAAATCGTCTCAACCATTGGTATGTATATATCGAAAACCACCCACTTTCACAAAAGAGGCGGTTTTTTAGTGGAGTGGTCTTTAATGAACCATCCAAATTCTCAAGTGCCTCTTGCCTTCTCAAGCTGTCAATCCTTTTTTAACAACCCTACCCATCCTTTGGGAAATCCCTCCTACTTGCCATGAATCCTCTGTTTTGTTGCATTCTATTGGATCTTCTGTTGTAAAAAAGGAAAAAAAAAGTGCTGTAGGATTTTGGCCATTCTGATTTAAGTATGTTCTTTTGATAAGATGTTTGCTGCAAAGCATAAATCTTTATCACAAGCATTTTCTTTTGATTCTGCATTGAACATTCATTCTTTGTAAATATTTTTCTCTGGTTCCTTGTCTTGTGAAATATGCCAAATGACTTCCTGAAAAAAAAGTGTATATGTGATTTATGATTTATATGCTGTATTATGATTTCGAGTTCTTGCCACTTTTCTTATAACTATTCTATTTTCCCCCGATATTTTTTCAAATATTTCGTATGCTGTGTTATGCAGCCGGGAGTATGTACTACTGCACGAGAATTCAGCTGGATGATGCTTATATTTAATGGCTGCTTGAGCATGATCCTCTACCTTGTTAGCATGGAAGAGATGCACATGTCATTTGGAGAAATTGACATTTGTTGGAGTATTATGCAAGGTACGGTGTCTAAGCATGGAACATGTTCCAGGTGTCCATTTTGCAATTATTTGGAGCTATAAGTGTTCACTTAGTTCCATCTGAATAGAGAGAAATGTTGGTTTTTCTGCAGTTTGCGTTGCTTTTGTACCCTATGAATTTATAGCATGGTCAGTCCTGTGTAAATTAATTACTAGTAACTGGGTTTTTATATTATAAAGAGCAGGATTCTAATGATTCTCTTGTCAAAGTTGTCAACTCAACTGGTTTACCATGCAATTTTATCGTAACACGAAGCGACCCAGCTTGAAAATATCTAGATGAATGTGGGCAACCTCTCTCTCTCTCTCTCTCTCTCACACACACACACACACACGTACTCACAGAGAAGGAGCGAAGAGTATAATGATGATTTATTCCGTTTGTCTTCCATTTGTTGCTTGGAACCAAGTTGACACTTCTTAAATGAAGTGATGTTAATTATGTGGTTGGGACTGGCTATTTTTATGATATTTAAGCTGAATCCAGTGGTTGCTGCAATACTCATGAGCGTTTTGCCCATCGAAGTTTCACTTTTTCTGGGTACTTGGAAGAAATTCTTCACCTGGGCCAGGGCTAGCAATTTTGAGTGAGTGAGTGGAATTCCATGCCAAGGCGTTTAATAATGCATTTGTTGGCATGTTTGTTAAGTTTAGTACCTCCTCATGACCTTATTTAATCGATTCGTTTGTTATTGACTTTTGGACCTTGGGTGCGAGCATGCTACATTGGGCATAACTAGGAGTAGATCATCTTGTTTTTTTTTTGGTTCAACAGTCGGGGAGTCAAATATCTATTAACTGCATATATTTTTGTGTCTCTTGTGAATTACAAGAAAAATGGCTGGAGATTCCACTTTTGTGGGATATGGGCAAATCAATTTTGAGCAGTAGAGTGGAACACTAAGAGGTCGGATATAGAGCGATGACAAATGTGTTCCTCCGTGGAAGTGGTGAGTCAAAGATTCAACTCTAAGAATAAAAGTCTTATCTTCTTCTAGATTCCAAATTTTTTGTGTTGGGCACGGGTTGTTAGTTATTAATAACACCAACATTCTCCGTCAAAATTTCCACCTTAGCCACTGCTTGGAGCAAAAGTTTTCAGATTTTAACTCAAAATTGGCTAAATTTATATGGAAAATCTGATTGATTTGGATTTTTCATTAAAGCAAGGCCAAAGACACTATAATGAATTTAACTCAACAAAGTTTTGTCTCCATAATTTTGAGATTGATTACGTGAGTCGTGTTTAGCAATGACACTATGCTATTCAAACAAATTTAGCTATGAGAGATACATTTTCTTCCCCTCTAACAATACACCCCTTTCACTATAGAAAAAAAAGCAATCACCTAAATGAATATTGCGATGTCAATTCATCATTCTCTCTCTCTGTTTTCGGGGGCTATTTACAAAGCAAGTTGGGTTGAGTATAATAAAAAAAAAAAAAAATTAGAAGTCAATAATGGGTTCACCAAGAATCAAATTACGCTCCAAGGTCCATGGTAAGTTAAAGAGCTTTGCCATAATGAATTTGAAGATCTTGTTGACATTGATGTTGTGGGTTGCACTTGAAAAGAAAAGGGTCGCCTTCATAGCTCTGGCATATGCCCTTGCCTGCATTGATAACAAGACACAGAATCTACACCGTTAGATGAGATGATGATGGGTCTGATGAAATCAGAATTTTGCAAAACTAGTTTTTTTTTTTTTTTTGAACACACAACCGGATATATATATATATATATATACACTGTCAGAGTATATATATTTGCTATTTATTGTTTACTGATTACGTGATAGTTTGATATCATACATGTATATCGTTGTGAAAAATCTCTTACCTCGGTCACAATAGTCCATTGCAGGTCTGGTGGAAGTTGGACAAAATCATCAAATTTAGTCCCAATTAATATGGGAATTGCCGTCTGCATATAACATGAAGGCACACATGTTTAGGGATGTCCTATTCTATTCTATTCAAAGTTTAGCTCGTTCATTCATGAGGAATGTTTGAACTTGTGATGAGTTTCAAACATTTTGTTCAAATTCACGTAGCTAACTTCTTTAAGCTCAATTCGGTTGATTAAATGAACTGAGTTAGCATTTACACCCGAGCATAAAAATCCATTTTACTACCCTTTCAGGAAAAAAAAAAAAAAAAAAAACAAAAGAGAGAGAAGAAAATAGTTGTAAATTGTTATCCAAATATTGTTAAGTAGGAGTCATGTTTGGTACCTGATTCCACTTTCTTGCTTGACTGTACCATCCAATAACACTGCCATTGCACATAAAATTTTAGAGTTATTTTATTTTTACCCCTTGTTTTTTACTATATTGAAAAGTAGAGATGCTATAATTAATGTACTTACCTATTTAGAGTACATCGATTGGTAAGATCAAACATAAACAAAATTGCTACTGCATCTTTACAAGCAATTGGGACTTGATCAATGGACCTCTGGTCACCTACAAATCAAACAGTGAACAGTAGAAATCACATTTATCAATATAACTTTTTTTTATTAAAATTGATTATCACATAAAAACTTCCAAATGAGATCCTGATCAACACTTTTGCTTTTTCTTTTTATCATTTTTGGTCCTTAAAGTATGTATATTTTGTCAATTTGATCTCTAAATTATTCAATTAGAGTTTAAATGATCTATATACAAACGGATTGTTAAGTTTTTAACGGAATGATCACGTAGTGGTCATGTGATAACGTCTGATAGCATGACACATGGTCAATTCTGTCAAAAAATTTCACGAACTGTCTGATTAAAGACCAAAATGATATGAATTGAAACTTTAAGGACAAAAATAATAAAATTAATATAATGAGAAGCAAACAGACAAAAGGAACATATTTTAAGGACAAAAAATGCTATTATTATTATTATTTTTTTGCCTTAAAAAAAATTAATAAATGGTACACATAAATCTTATCTGCTTACCTCCCACGTCCCATATTCGAAAAGCAATCCGAGCACCTTGGACCATTAGGGTTTTGTCCATTAAATTCAATCCATTCATGTCTATGCATCTCTTTTCTTGCTCACCACCTACATACTTCATCTTCAAAACATTCAACATAATGAAAAAAAAAGGTGTGGAGAAAAATATATTAGCACTCGTAACATAAGCATATGAGCACCAAAAAGAACATGAAAATTCACTAAAAACTACAAAAATAACTCACTACAAAACTTGTTTTCCCAATCTGACAATCACCCAATAAACTGATCTTCAAATCAACCAAATCAGAATCACTATCATAGCCACTGCACATAGTCGTCGCCAGACCGTCGTGTCCAAAACCAGACTCAGTAGCCTCCATTGCCGGAGAAGAAGACCTCTGAGACAAACGTCGGTAGTGACTCGGTTTCCCCATGGAGCAAGTAAGAATTCTCTCCCAAATGAACCTGAAAAATTCCCTGAACCCCGATACCCTTTCGATTATGCTCCACTTTATGTTGACCTGAACAATTTTCCGGCAGAATTGAGTCATCTTTCCGGTGGCTTCATTGATTGTTTGGGCCATGAAGATATGTTGTGGCTTCTTGTGTTCTCATATCTTTGTAGTTCTACTTTTTTTTTTGGGTGGTGTTTCGAGCTTTCTGTTTATGACTCTATCCAAAGACACAAAACTAGGGAAAGGTGTGTTACAGTGGGTGGAAGTTGACCGGTATATCTTTGTGTTACCAAAACAGTCCAAATTGCCGCTTCTTGGTTTCAACGTAGTTTTCTGTTATTTAAGGGCACTTGGAAGTGTCGAAGTTGTTCTCATAAAGAAGAAAAACCACGAAGTGTTCAAACTTCTTACATGGTGGCTTTCAGCTTGTCCATTTTTATTTTTATTTTTATTTTTTATTCAATGGGTACGAAAATTCGAGTTAACTTATACACACCTCGATTAATTTTTTATTTGATTCCCTTTTTGGTCCGGTCAAAAAGATCATTTACGCCAACACTAAGATATTGACCTGACCCCAAAGGATTATCAAGATTCGAACTTAAACATTTAAATTTATAACTCTTTCTCTATTACCATTTAAATTCATTTGAAATTTGGGTTATCAATTTTTCACCAGATAAGGTAACACCATATGAATTCAAAAAAATTAATATTTCCAGTAAAGCAATAAAAATTAAATTAAATTAAAGTAGTATCAAATATGAATAATTTAATTTTGACATTTATGTGTATCATACAGATTATAGAGTGAAAGCCAATATGTATCTCTCGAGTAAAAACATTAATTACTCTGGGAATCATGATGTAAACAGGCACAGTACATGACCCACCTACCTATGCGAATCTACCATAAGATATTTATGATTATCCTATAAATTGGTATTCAAAATAATGGTGGGTTAAGCTAACTAATTTTTTTTTTTTTTAATTTAACAGTTAAGGATTTCTGATTTAGTTTATGTATATCGTAATTAATTTTATCTCCGATTCAATCAAAGACAGGTCATTCACCATAAAACTAAGATCATGACTTAACTTCAAAGATTATTAAAATTCGAACTCAATACGTAATACCATTTTAAAGTATCTTCAAGTTTAAGCCAACTAACTTTTCAATTTAAAGTCGGTTATTCTCTAGATCATCAATGACATATATAAACAAATCACTGGTTGCCTAGTTGATTGGTGGATCTAGATCAAGAGACTTAACTTTTATACCCTTTTGGAATAAAGAAAAGAGGTGCAAAACCCATCACAGTGAAACATGGATTCCCTTTAATCTTTACTAAAAGTTATTAAAGAATTAGGAAATTCATATATGTACTGTACCCCTCTTTAACAGACAGGTGGCCCATAGAATAATAATTTACTAGACTTGGTTTTCTTAAAAATTTTGTATGTCATTTCTGATTATAAAAAATAAAAAAAAAATCTCTACCTTTGTTATAGTTTTTTTATTTATTAGTTTTATAGCTAGAAAACAAATTCGATAGAATATAATCTTATGACACTCTTATTAACAATTAGTTATTATACACGTGCGTTGCACGTGAATTATTTGAAATTATAATTAAATTAGAGTATTTGTTTAAATGATTAAATTAAAATATGATTAACGAAATTTTTTTTGAATTATAAATGTAAAATATTTAAACTTTGAAGGGATCAATTTATAATTTGTTAAGAGTATTAGGGTAGTATGTGTAGTTTGTTAATAGTGTTAGGGTATTATGTGAAAATACAAGAAGGTATATGTGTAATTCTTATTATTATGAGTTAACTATAAATACAAGTGATTTTGTGAGAGTAGGTTAAGTTTTGACCACTTTTCGTCTTCTTTAATATTGTGTTGATTCTCTAAATTTAACATAGTATCAGAGTAATTTGATCCTAAATACAAATCTTAGTGTGTATGTGTTGTGAAAATTACTTTGGCTTGAAGTGGTGTCACTGTGGTGGTGGTGGTGCTGCTGCTGTCGTTGTGGTGGTGATACGTCTGTGGTGGAGGTTTCCAGTATGAGGTGTTATTGACATGGTGCCTTTTCGTGTCCTCTGTGTTCTGCGATTGTGGTGGTGTGGTCTTTGGTCATCAACACCGGTGGCTTTGCGGTGGTGCTGTGCCATTGTGGTCGATTTGTGGTGGTGTCGCTGTGATGTGTAACCTGTTGTGGTGGTGTGTCATTGGGTTGATTGTGCTGTGCCGTCGAAGATTGAGGTTTCTTTTGAAACCCTAATCACATGAAGAAGACGAAGTTCATTTAGGTCGGTTTCGGGTCGATTCCAGCCCAAGATCCAAACCAAAATCGGTTTAGCCCAAGACCCAGACCAAATCGGTTCAAGGCCGGTTCAATCCCGGTTTGGTCCACTCTAGGCCGGCTCAGTTAGTTTGGCACTGGTTCTATCGACTTTCACGCTGGTTCAGTGATCCAGTTCATTTTTCCTGACCGGTTCAGTGATCTAGCGAGATTTTTCAGTCTGGTTCAGCGGTCTAGCGAGGCCCTCCAGTCCGGTTCAACGATCCAGTGGTCTTCTCCTGTCTGCTCGGAAGTCCAACTGCTTCGTTCAGGTGTCTAACAGTCAAGTTGCTATTGTTTTACTATTTTCTTGCTCCGTTCAGTTATCCAATAGTAAGGTTGCTCCTATTTTACTATCTGCTATATTATTATGGAACCTAAGTAAGATGTTATTGCTCCATCTTTGCCACATACTTCTCCAATTCTTATTAATGGTCTCATGACTTCCATTAAACTCAATGGGACAAATTATACTTTATGGTCTCATTCGTTCAAGTCTTTCTTCGAGGTAAATATTTTAAGAAATATTTGGTTTATCTCAAATCTAAGGAAGATACTTATGGGTATGATCAGTGGGAACAAAAGGACGCTCAGATTATCTCTTTACTGTTGAATAGTATTGAGCCGAGTATTAGTTCTACTCTGCATTACCTTGACACTGTCAAAGAGATATGAGATCACTTGGCCACTATGTATTTTAGCACAGGTAATTTTACCCGTACTTATGAGGTGTGCAAGCAGTACTTCTAGCTGCATCAGGATACTTTGAGCCTTGTGGATTATTATTCCCATGTTCGGGGAGTCTGTGAGCAGTTGAAGCTCTATCATCCATTCACTATTGATGTAACAGTTTGGCATAAGCAACATGAGAATTTGGATATTGTTAGGTTTTTGGTAGGATTGAAACCTGAATATGAGGTTATTCGTTCTCAAATTTTGGGTGGTTTTAGTCTTCCCTATCTACTTGAGGTTTTCTCTCGTTTACAGTGTGCTACTTTGTCTACTCCTTCAGGCATCAATCCACTGATCGTTCAGCTCTTATGGTTTCTAGTAGCCACAGTGATGGTCACTGAGGTGGACGTGGTAATCGTGGTGGTTGTACAAGTGGTCGTGGGGGCCGTAGTGGACCTCGTTCCTGTACTCACTATGGTCGTGGCGAGCACACTCTTGATTTTTGTTGAGATTTACATGAAAAACCTTATGGTGTTGCTAATCAGGTTTCCTATCAAGATGACACGTCAGTTGTTGCTTTATACCTCGGTCAGCTTCATTAGACTCTGGGTTGGTTACTATTACACGTGAGGAGTATGCTTACTTCATGTCCCAGCAACAGTTGTCTAGTTAAGTACCGCTTTCACTTGTTTATTGTCCTCCACTCGCAGTTCCTGGATCATAGGCTTTGACACTTCTGACCATATGACTGGTGCGTCTGGTGTTTTTTTTACTTATCAGTTTGCCACTTTCACACATGGTATTACTCTTGCTAATGGTATTTGTTCTAAAATTTCAGGTTTGGGGACTACTCACTTGAGTCCTGATATGTTCCTATCCTCCATGTTATTTGTTCCTCAGTATTCTTTTAATTTACTTTCCATTAACAAGATTACTCATTCTCTGAATTGTTTTGTAACATTTTATCTCTCTTATTGTGTATTTCAGGATCTCAAGACGCAAAGGAAGATTGGTACGGGGCATGAAGCTGGTGGCCTATATTACTTTGACTTTGATTCACCTATTCGGGCTCTACAGACCTCATTGTCTCATTTTCAATGACATTGTCGTCTTAGACATCCCTCTCTCCAGAATCTAAAGCACCAAGTTCCCAATCTTAGTTATGTGTCATTCGTGTCTTGTGAAGCTTGTCAACTAAGTAAGCATCACCGTGTGTCCTTTTAGTCTAGAGTCAATAATCGTGTGTCTAATCTATTTGAGTTGGTACATTCTGATGTATGGGGTCCAATAAAGAATATTTCACTTAATAAATATTTTTATTTTGTATCATTTGTGGATGATTATTCTCGTGTGACATGGTTGTTTCTGATGAAAGTTCGTTCTAAATTATTCTCTATATTTGAGACCTTTCGCAAGGAAATAAAAACTCAGTATAGTTGTCGTATACGTATTTTATGTTTTGATAATACTCGGAAATATGAATCTGATTCTTTTTCAAGTTATCTTAGTAAAACTGGCATTATCCATCAGACTTCTTATGTGTACACCTCTCCACGGAATGATATTGTTGAATGCAAGAACCATCATTTGTTGGAAGTAACTCATGCACTGTTATTCCAGATGAATATTCCCTGATATTTTTGGAGTAATGTTGTTCTCACTGTTTGTTATCTTATTAATCGTATGTCATCATCTGTGTTAAATGGATAAAGTTTATATTCTGTCATTTTTTCTGGTAAACCCTTATTCTCCTTAACTCTTAAGGTTTTTGGATGTGTCTTTTATGTTCACAATTTAGGCCCTAGGTTTGATAAACTTGACCCTCGGGCTACCAAATCTGTATTTCTTGGATACTCTCACACACAGAAGGGGTATCGTTGTTATAGTTCTTCCCTACGACGATACTTTACTAGTGCTGATGTTACATTTGAGGAATTTGTTCCATATTTTCTGGCACCTGCTCAGCCTTTGGATTTGGACTTTGGGACATATCTTGCATCACCATCTCTTCCCTCACAATCAAATATTTTGTTGCCTACTGTGTTACCATCCATTTTACCTCTTCGTGTATACTCTCGTTGTCCTTGCCCATCGACTGAGATGTTCGTACCGTCTTCTTTGCTGTCTGCTGATCCTGGTACATCAGGTAATTTAGATTCTTTACCTATTACTCTTCACAAAGGTACTAGTTCATATGTTAC